TTATTCATGGTTTGTACCCTGGCCTTCTGATGTTGACATAAGTTCACTATTTTTATTGCAATGACTGAAAAATGGCAATATCCTTTGCAGATCACTTCTCCTGATGGAAATTCTTGCTCTGCTCATACTCCAGATATTACCTGGGATAAATTTCAGAAGAAGAGCTGCCAAAAAATGCAGAGTTGGCATGAGAAAAGGCTTTCGGGCAAGGTTGATGGCATAGAGGTGAATCTTTGTCATTTCTCGTACTAAAACTTCACCATGGTTTCCTGCTTGAGATGACGCTTCTGTTACAGCTTGTGTATTGCTTAAAGTATGAATCAACTTCTTCACTGACTACTAGATGTCTTTTTTATGCCCATTTTCTAAAGTCAGCCCCATATGATTAATGAATATCCGCTTCTTATTAGCCTTTGCATATGTGATCATTTAACTCTGCTCATTGCTGCTAACTCTAGTATTGCTGAAACCAAATGATGTACTTGCGTCAGATATAGCGACTATAAGCACAATTCAATTTGAGTTGAAAACTACAATGTAATGGTGTTCTGGGTTGGTGGATCCACATGCTGCTAATCATCTCTCCTTTCTGATTCTGTGTTTTGTGGACTTGAAATTCTAACATATAAAAATGATAATAAAAGGTATGCTTTATGTTGTGAAACCAAGTTATTCTTGTGCTTTTGCAGTTTTTTGGGTTCAAGAGTCCTTCAGTGCAGAGGCTGCTTCGAGAACTTAAGTCAAATGTCAATGAAACTGCTGAACAGAGTATTTTGGCTACCAGTCGGAGCAACGATTTAGCTAGAGGAGAACACGATGATCAATTGCAGCTTGCTTGCAAAAGTCCTGATCTAGTAGTACCAGACATGGAAAAGCCTCTGGTGACTGGGAAAAGAAGTAAGAGGACAAAAACCAAAGCTGTTACTCCATCAAGTGTTTCTCGATTGAAAAGACCCCGTAGAGGTCGTCCTGGGTCCAGTACCGATGTCGTTTGTTTTTCTGTAAAGGAGAAACATGAGCGGCAGAGTTCCCTGTCTCCCTCTTCCTTTGGCTCTACTGGGGAGCCTGAAAATTGCAAGCTTATTTCAACAGCATTACCATTTATATCCATCGTTCAAGACAAAAACTATAAACCGTCAGCCGTGAATGGCTTGACCTTGCAATCTCGTGATGACTCGAATGGTAAAAAGGACGAAATGATCATGACCCTTGAAGAAAGGAAACTTGCTGGTTCAGAAATTTACGCATGCATCGATGCAGTCAATGGCTTAAATATACAGGGAAATATTGTAAGGACTACAATTTACATTTGGCAGTATCAACTATTCGATTGGTAGATATGTCATTATCTTCAAAGTTTTCCATAGTACTTTTAAATACTATAACATTCAACTGCTTTCATAAGATTTAGTTCAGCCTGATTGTTATCTTCTGGTTTACATTATTTTATTTTTCTGTTAGTAGTTATATTTCTAACAGAAATTCAGATTGATAGGTCACCAGATAGTAAATTTAGAACATCAGCAAATGGCAGAGATAGGGATGAATGCATCCAAGACGGTACTTTATGTGTTCCTGGGGATGATCTTTGTGCACCTGATACCTTGGATTCCTTGGAAGGTACTATTTTACTCACCATAATCAGTATGTTACATGTGATTAACTTAATGATAAAATCTCTTCCTGCATGGCATTTTTTGATCTATGTAACATTACAGAGCCTGTTTCGAATGCACATGTGACAAGCACCCGTAATGAAGAAAAGTTGATAGCGTCTGAGACTTGCATTTCTAAACGACTGGTCGCTGAATCACATCCAGGAGATGAATTAGACACAAGGGTGACGAGCCCAGGCATTGATAAAGAAGAGCTAATTGTAGCTGATACTTTCATGTCTGAAGGAGTGCTATCTGAATCACATATGGAGAATGAAATGGCTTCAGGCAGTTCAAATGGAAGCTCTGAAAAGTTTGACTCTGATTCAGTTGGTCAAGAAATAGACAAGTCAATGATGACACTTCTTCTTCCACAAGCTATCCCTCTTCTTAAGAAAGCCTCGAACAAGAAAAGGAAATCCAATGCCACAGTGCAAAATTTTGTCTCTAGCACCAAGGCTCGGGAAGGAAATAAAGCTACTTCAGGTGTTCATTCTCCTAAAATAGATCATACTAAAGCTGTTGTTTTAGACAGTCTTGAGAATGAACAATGTGAGGTGGGACGACAACTTGTGCTGCTCACTGATAATGCCGAGTGTGAGCAATCTGCTGATGGAAAAGATGGAAGACCTCCTCACAGTTGTGATGACCTTGTAAATGGAGATGCAAGGAAGTCGGATATGGGAATCTCAGTACGATCCCCCGAATGCATTACTATTGTAGGCAGCCCGACTGGAACTGGGAGTCAAAACTCAACTCCAGGCACCCGGAAGGTATATACCAGAAGAAAGATGACTTCTAAAGCAACGAACAATGGCTCTCCTCTATCAGAAAGCACAACATGCAGAACCTATGAAGGAGACTGTGAAGCAGGTTCTATGCTTGATTCTGAAGCTTTGGATGTGAGTCCTTCAATTGGTGCTCTCGAGGATAGGACCAGCACTGGGGGGGAACTCCACACTTTGCAAGTGGAGGAAATCACCTTGAGTTGGAGACCCAAGTTGGATGATCTGCCTATATGTGTGTCAACTGAAGGCGAACATGCTTCAAACATGCTTCTTCCATCAGTTCCAGTTTCAGAAGAAACCCGAACTAATTGCAAGGACAGATTAGTGGAGCAAAATGCTGTGGTCGATGTCCATGGTTCCGTAAGATCTTCTTCCAATGAAAAGGGTTTGGAGTCATCAAGTGGTAAAGAAGTTCGATCTAATGCTGACCTGAACATCCATCGAAGTTTTGAGCTCGACTTTAACTTAGAAGGAATTGCTGAGTATGTGGGCTGCTATATCCATCCGCTGCCTATTCTGCACCTGTGGTTGAGCTCACAAGAAAATGAAATCTACATTTGTGCCTTATGTGGTCTTCAGAACAAAGACGGGACCGTGTTTCTTTATAAGTTAGCAAGGACAGGATGCCCATCTTTTGTTGGTCATACTACTGTCAGCTGGCCACCTGCAGTGCATGTCTTTGGCAATGTAAGATCTCATTTGCATATGTTCTGTCACCAGTTCTGATTTTACACTTATTAAGCCCTTTGCTTGTGGTATCAAGTCGATAGTGTTTACCCTTGTGCTCTCTTTGGTAGGTTCCACCTGAAAGATCCAGTTTTCAACTGACCCCAAATGGGCAGCTTCTGGTTCTACATGGCAGCATAAAAGTGCCTTGTTGCAGGTTGAAATCTCTACATCCTTATACGTTGAAGTTTACCAATATACAAATCATGTTTCTCCACATAACATTGACACACCATACACGTTCTCAGGGAAGGGATGGTTGATTGTTTGTGCTCTACATGTAAAGCAGACAGCCGTAGTAGCAGCTCAGTGAAGATTTTAAGAGTCAAGTTGGGATATGTTTCGGTGTTATTGGAGCTAAGAACAGATGAAGTGGTTGAATGTATCCTTGTCTGCGAACCTAATCATCTGGTTGCTGCTGGTGAAAGTGGTAGACTCCATTTGTGGACCATGGACACAACATGGAGGTGACGATTAATTTTTTTCTTGATATCGTATTTCTTACTGTTAGTCTCGTGTTCAGTTTTTCAACTTCCAGTAGCCTTTCTGATCATTGTGCAATCATTGCTCTTCTGCTTCACTTGTTTGCAGCACTTTGAAAGACCAGCACACTATATCAACAAAGGATTACTATTCGCCTAAAATCGTGGAGTTGAAGAGCATTCCTCCAAACGCATCTCTAGTTGTAGGCCACGATGGCTTTGAGGAGTTTACTCTCTGGTATGACCCCTTCAACGAATGTAAACATGTTGAGTAGTTCCCTTTTGTGCCACCTCCTGAAGTCAATTGCTTCAAGTCGACTTACATTCTGGTATGTTGTATAAATGTTTCAGGGACATCTCGAAACGGGCCTTCATTGCAAGATTCACCGGTCCAGGAACTTCGATTTATGCGTTCCACCCCATCAGCCGGTTTGGCTGGCCCAAAAGGGAAGCCCATCACTCCAGTTCCTACAACCTGGAGGAACATGTGAACAGAATGATGGAAGCCACAAAATTGTCATTGAATGAGTCATCTCCTGGGATGGACGGTGAAGATATTGCCATCTGGCTTCTCGTCGCAACCAACCCAATTGACCACCCTACGGATCCGGTTGGATGCTGGAGGCTAGCTTTAATGGCCAGAAACACCTTGGTCTTGGGAACCACTCTGGATCCAGGGTACTGGGTTCAGTAATTTTGATCAACGTCACTTATAAAATTATTTGGCTTTTATTATATGTATTTTTTATTCCTGGCAGGGCAGCAGCTGTTGCCACGTCAGGTGGCAATGGAATCGTCGGTACACGGGATGGAGCTGTCTACATGTGGGACTTGTCGAGGGGGAACAGACTTGGGACTCTCCATCATTTCAAAGGTAACAAAAACGTTAATGAAGGCAGGCTGCCTTTTTCCTCTCGTTTTCGTACTTCTTTAAATGCTCTTGTTGGACCTCGTCCACCAAACCCATGCAACCTTTCTCTCTTCTCAGATCCAGATTCTCTCTCTCGGACACCATTTTTTTTTTTTTTTAACATGATTGCATACGAATGCTGATATCGTAATGCGATGCAGAAAACAGTAGATATCGTTATTATTATGTCAATCTTTCTACTTTCCACATGGCTCGCTGTCAACACGACGAAGCCTCCTCAAATTGTGCCTTGACAAAAAAGGCAGAAATTGGGATAGCAGGACTTTTAGATCTGTAAAGCTCTTGAATGTGGTTGAGCACGTTCTTGGAAACATCTTTACTGCTTTATTAGTGGTTCATAATGTGGTCATTTTTATAATATTTATTGTTGGTGACTGATGTAACCATTATTAGGGCATTAATTGGTGGCTAATGTCGCGGTGGTAATTAATTGGCAGGTGGAAGTGTTTCGTGCATTGCTACAGATGATTCGTGGAGGAGACGAGGTTTCTTGGCAGCTGGGAGCCGGACAGGTGAGTTACTGGTTTGCCGACGCTTGTAGATTGGCGAGATTTAACACGGCAAAGGGAAAGAAAGAAGCTTCGATTTTCCAGTACTTGCTAATCTTGTGTAGTTGCTGCCGGTCCTTCTTTCAACATGTTGTCCATTAGTTTAGTACAAATTAGACACTCCAGGTTCTGCCCAAAGCAATGCGCTGAATACCCTTCTAATATTTTGTCACTTTTCTCATAACAACGACTCAACGAGGGTGCCATCATGGTCATTTTTGTAACGACGAGACCTGTTGTCTTGAAACTAGATGAAGGTAAAATAAAGGTTGTTTGGTTTTGGTGATAGTTTAATTGGGATAGTTACAATGCATGTAATGCCCACAATGCATCTTTTTTTTAATTTTCTGCGCAAACAATACATGTGTTGTTTACTTGATTTGACACAAACTATCACTTAAAATGAGTGATAGTTAAATCTCAAATTTTGATTGAGATTGTTGAGATTGTTTGATAGAGATTGTTGTGTTTTCTTCTTCTTCCAAATATGTCTCTACCTTTTTATGTGTGTTGCTTTTTTATATTAAAAAAAAGGTAAAAGTGACACTTCACCCAAAAAGTTATATAATTTATTTAAATACTACAATAATTATCACAGAAATCAAACGATGTAAACTACAATATGCCAATTTTTTTTATATACATGTATATTATTATGCATGCATTGATTACAATACGTCTATTTAACTATCCAAAAAGTGAAATGATTTGGTTCGGAAGGGGACGGGTTAGCATGCTAACCCCTTAAGGGGTTGGTTTTTTGACACCCCCTTTTAATTGGTCAATTTTGCATTAATTATTGACAAGTATTAATGAAAGTAAACATAATAAATGTTCTGTTATTAAATACAAAGTAAGCATTAAATACACCACATTAATTACTTGTTTTTTTAAAAAAAATCTAAACATATACAAAATACAATTCTCTCTCTCATCTTTGATCTTTCTCACTCCTATCTCTCATTCTTCCTTTCCGAGCAGCCTCCGACCACCAAGTTTCCTCCGACCACCACACTTCGCTGGTAAAATCTGCCGACAAACTCTCTCCGGTCACATGCAAAAATATATCACTGCACTGATAAGTTGTACCACTTTACTGGTATTTGTACCACTGCATTGATACTCAGATATGACATTGCTACTAGTGCACTGATATCGCTACCAGTTCAGTGGTATATCTACCAGTACAGTGGTATAACGTATCAGTGCAGTGGTATATTTTTTGGAGGTGGTCGGAGGGAGTCTGCCGATGAGATTTTCACCGGAGAAGTGTGGCGGTCGGAGACTGCTGAAAAAGGAAAAATCAAATATAGTGAGAGAAAATGTATTTAGTGTAGGTTTTAATTTGAAAAAAATAAATAATTAATATGGTGCATTTAATTCCTAATGTGTATTTAATGTGTGTATTAAATTATATAGTTGTATTTAATATACTAGGGGGTGTCATTTTTCCAACCCCTAAGGGGTTAGCATGCCGTTGGGAAGAAATCGGCTATTCTGTTGATGTAGGGATAAGTATGGACTATTGATATTAGGGATGAGAATGGGTGGACTTATTGGGTAATTGCAGACATGATTCATATGGTATTGATTGATCTAAATGAATTATGCATTCTTAATAATTTTAGGTTTGGGTTGGATTTTGATTGAGTCCAATATGGGTCAATCCATTATCCAACATCGACAACATCGACATTAAAAAACCATATCGACTATCTTATTTTCGTTTTCAACCAATTCACACCTTCAATATTGACATTTTAACATTTTTCTTAGAACAAAGAAATATTGTCATCGTTATGTAATATCAAGGTTGTTAACTCGGGGGACAACCTGCGGGTTGACCTAGACCAGTGGGAATTTGTTGGTATAATGTTACATGTTAGATGATATTTGATATAACGTATATCTATGAAAAATATGATGATTTTTCCCCATACATTTGCACTAAACAATCGAGCCATTAATCCTTCACACACTTATTCGATCAGGTCAACGGACTAAACCAAGTTGACAACCTTGATTTGTATCGTCAAATTAATCTTTAATTATTTTCAGTGGTCGAATTAGATGTGTATTTTTTGTTACTATAAAGAATCGAGGACAGAGGACCAGTGCATAGTACCGGCGATCCATTGATGTTAAGATGCACCCATTGCCTCCACATCAGCAATAATTGTGTTTGTGAGGTGGTGCATGGGGTGGAGAGTTCACACTTCTCCCGTGAGTGAGGAGATGATTTGTTGCCTGGGCTGGGCTGGGCGGGTTAGAGAGATGGTGGTGATAGATGGAAATCTAGTGGCCAATATCAACAAAAAGGGCGAGACAGACTAGTCAGGAGGAGAAAACGAATCCGACAGCGCACAAGACGCGTGTGTTGCATTTTCGCGCAATATTTATTTGCCCAAGCAAGAAGGGCCCCAAAACCCACACAAACAGCTCTCTCTTGGCGTGAAGCTGGAATTCCCCCCCTGCTTGCCTGCGTTTTCTCTTCCCTGAAAGGTAAACAGGATTGCGGGCCGTGGGGTTTCAGTTTCTGACTGCTCATTTCCCCTTTTCCTTCGTTGTAACGTACAGTCGTGTGTCGGTCGGTTAGGTTTCCACTTCCATATCTGGCTTTAATGTCTTCAATTATTCATTACTTTGAACTCTCCTTCCTTTTATATTCGACTGAAACACGTCACGGAACGGAAATCTACTTTAATGTGCAATCAAATCTAAATTAGGTGAATAATTTGTACCAATATGTTAGTGGTATGATATTTTATATTTAATTTATTATTAAAATTATGATTAAAAAAATTCTTTATTAGTTTTAACTTGAATAGATAACTTTTCCAGTCCAACCACTCACCACTATAATAAGATTTTATAGATCTAAATTGTCACGCTGAGAATGAGTCGATCCTCCCATCCAGTGGAGTGACCGAGGACCCCACTTGGATAAATTAAAATGGTTAAATGTATGTAAATACTTATTTAATTTGAGTAGATTTAGAATACAGGACTCCATTCATATGCAATTTAATTGTCCTGGTATTATAAAACACACAAATAAATTAGACGATATTGATCATATATCATTGAAAATCCACAAATTTATAGTCCTTATTATAAAAAAAAATCTAATCCTACTAAATATGTGTACAAAAACCTCCAGCTATATCTAAAAAGCTCTTAGTTCAACAAAATTTTCCTATTAATATACAATTTCTTTGTCACTTGAGAACTATTTATTTTAGCTAGTTATTGAAATGTCACTTTTCAATTATGAGGGGGCGTTTGGTTTTGGTGATAGTTTGATTGGGATAGTTACAATGCATGTAATGTCCACAATACATCGTTTTTATGAATTTTCTGTGCAAACAATACATGCATTGTTTGCTTGATTTGACACAAACTATCACTCAAAATGAGTGATAGTTAAATCTCAAGTTTTCGTTGAGATTGTTTGATGGAGATTGTTGTGTTTTCTTTTTCTTCTTCCAAAAATGTCCCTACCTTTTTATGTGTGTTGTTTTTTAAATTAAAAACAGGTAAATTACACGTTTAGTGGCAAATAAAATAAAAAGTAATTCGAGTGGCAAACATGAAAGATTTGTATAATTCAAGTGACCAAACATGTAATTTAGCTTATTAAAAATAAAGGGTAAAAGTGATATTTCACTCAAAAAGTAAGATAATTTATTTAAATACTACAATAACTATCACAGAAACCGAACAATGTAAACTACAGTACACCAATTTTCTTATATACATGTATATTATTATGCATGCATTGATAACAATACATCGATTTAACTATCACCAAAACCAAATGACCTTTGAGTTACACAAAATATAAGATACAAATCTAATAACTAATGGTTTGATGAATGACTTTTGACGGAATGTTTTTAAGAAAAAATACTTAATAGTTAAATACAATATTATAAATTTATTTCATAAATAGAACTCCACTAAACTCGAAGCGGGCTACGCTACTGTTCCCATCCCCAAGTCTTCTCTTCAGAATTAGAAGATTCAAAAGTCGGGGGGCCGCAAAGATCCACCTAAAAAACCCAGTAGTAAACAAACAAACAACAGACGGCATTTGAAAATTAATTACGTTTCGAGTGGGGCTCCTAAACTTTTGACCTTTTCCATGTCCAACATTTTTCCAAATTTCAAATTGCTCCGCCTTGATTCTGCCGGCCATCCTTACTCTTCCAAATTTTCAAACCCCAAATTTTCGAACACTAAATATCATTACACCCATCTTCCCCAACAAAAATTCCAACACAAAAATGGGAGACTTAACTATGTGGAGACTGGAGTATCGATCCACTCTTCTGCAACAACTTCTTCAAGCCATAAGATTCACATTTCACAACAATACAATACAATACAACTCAATAGTATATCATAAATAATGATGAGAATGAATCCACTCAAACATGAATTCACTCAAACCTGTAACATTATGCAGTAGCAGTAAATATGACAACAATAGCAATAATCAATAACACTATAGAAAATAAATATTGTGGGCTCATCTCAATCTCAGTAGACCACCTACACTGCAACTACCAAGTTTTTACTACTACCGAATTCTCTCATCAGCAAAAGTAAACTCTTCTCTGGTCCCTCTGTGGCCTAACAAAACCCAACTTCTGCTTCTACTTGGCTTTGGCTGTGCCATTAGCGGCTGTCTTCTCAGCTGAAGAAGGGTTCAGCTCGTCCCAAGCTTCGATCCAGGTAACCATGGCATCGGCAAGCTTGTCAAAGTAAGGATCAACCTTACCCAGCTTCTCCTTCACTTCCTTGGACAGCTCGATGTAGCATTTCTGCACCGAGGTGGCATCCTTGGAGATCTTCACTGATTGGAAGAATGGGATGATCTCCTCCTGCCAGAAGATACCCTTGTACTCCTTTTTCAGGTTCACGAATGGGTTGCTGGCCTTGCTGTGCCAGATGTATGGCAACCCGGTCTTGATTCCCCATCCCATATGGTCGCAGATCACCTTATCATAACAAAAAATTTGTACCTAGGTTAGCTTATTATATCCTCAAGAGGTTGTAACCCAAAGTAAAAACGACTTGTCTCTCTTCTTACCTTCACACACCACCCAGCCCACATGTCATCGTATCGACCAATCGGCTGACCATCTCCCATGAGTCCAAAGTACAATGCCGGTCCGACCAATTCACGGTTGAATGCAAGGTTCATCCCGCACATTGGGAACAAGGTTCCCTTAGGGATTGTCATCACAGCATCAACATACCTACAAATGTCAACAACTAACACAAGTTAGCAAAACTGGGGGTGAAAAAAAGGAGTTCATCATCGTTGTTAAATCGGGTTGGTTGGGGGTGAAAATCAACCTGGTGTTCCTCTCAAGTGGCTTGACCAGCTGAGTGGGAGCATCATAATCAGGGATGTTCATCCACAGGCCATGAGAAACAGCTGTCGCAACACCCTCACGGAGACTGAAAGGATACCCACGAACAAAGTCAGCACCTTCTCTGTATGGATCATAGAGTGTGTTGAAGAAGTGTGGGGTCGATGGGGATAGCAGGTTCTTGATGTGCTGCTCCAGTGCATTGATCTGCGCCCCAGTTGGATCCTTGGCTACCTATAATTTATAACCACAAACAAACAACATAAGAATAGCTGTTGAGAAAACATGACCGGCAACCCATTAGGCCGAGGAGACCAGTAGGGAATGTAGACATCATAGCGAGCATCAGTGCCCATTGAATATAAAAGCACTGGCTTTCTGAGATGCCATAGTTGATATCAGGTCCTCCCCAATCTACAAACAAGGACTGGCCAAGGATCTGAGTAAGACACAGAAACTTGGCAGCATTGTCCCTGCAGAGAGGACCCTATTGCAGATCTGGATGAATTGCAAAGTGAAACGAATAATCTTAATCAGATAACCCAAATTCACTAACAGAGGAAAAGACGGCATCATAAGCCGAGATCTACACAACTCCAGCAACCATCTGACAATCAAGTACTCATTACTCAACATTAAGAAAAACACATCTACGATCTAAATCGAACGCCCAAAAGTTCCAACTCTAATGCTAACTATTCCCGGCCAAGTCAAACGGAAGTCCAAGCAGAGTAGATCAAACAACCATTATATCCAAATAAAACACACGGAAGAAAGATCTGAGTAAACGGGGTGACTTACAAAGCAATCGTCATCAATGGTGTAGATGTACTTCTTCTTGGACACCATGAACCCGAAGCATCTACAAGCAGAATCCTTGAATGAAATGCAAGAAGCTTTAGGACCCAGAATCCTGTTGATGTCGTTCCTGTTGTAGAGCTCGTAATCGAACCCTTCGGGGACTTTGATGGTCTTGGAAGGGTCACCATCTTGAACAATGATCAGATGGTAACCCTCGAAGAAGGGCCTCCACATCTCCAAAAAATCGAGGTTTCGGATTGTGGGTATGACGATGTCGAGCTCATCTTTCAGTATCGGAGTGGGCTTCACGGCGGCAGAGAATCCCGCCATGGCTTACAGCCTCGGAAGGAGAAGACTTGAATCAAGCGGGATCTACTGGGTGGAGAAGAGGGGGAGAAGAGGACGATCTGACAAAGTAGAGGGCTTGTCTTTCAGCAGGAGTCCGCGAGAGGGATTTAAAGAGGTTTTTGGAGGCTGTTTTCGTGAATACGGAGAAGTCCCGGGGGATAAAAATATGTGGCTTTTATTTTGTAGTGTTATATCTTTTTCCGTTTTTATCATGGTTGTTAAACCGGTAACATGCCGGCTGGTTTAACGGATTTCAATCTATATGTGTTTCAATATTCGTTGAAATGTCCTGGTATGACTAGTATTAGTGCGGAAAACGATGCGGTTTGGTATACTGTTTACGGTTCAAATTGATAGGTTGAAGTATAGATCACATGTCAAATCACATATATGGTCCGGTACAAATAGACTATACTATACGAAAATGAACAATTTGATTAGTCAATCACACAAAAATATGAACCAATAACCAAGAACTTTTTTTTCTTAAAACATGAATTCAACATGCATGAATAATTTTGACATAAAAAATATCAGTAAATAATAATTTTGAGAAGTCGGCTGGGTCCACAGCTTGGTCCAGTAACCCGCGGTGTAGTCTAGATCAGACCAAGAGATCAAAATATCATATAATACAGACAATGGACTGGACCAGACCATACTTATCGGTCTACGGGCCGGACCAAACTATGCAGTCCGGTTTGGATCATGGTTTTGCAAATGGTATGGTCTATTTTCCCAACCGTAACTAGTATGATTGATTTTTTACATTAAAAAAATAAAGGTATTTTGATGCATATAACTAACAAAATATTGATTTGTTTTTGAATTTGAAAGTTTAATGTAGATGTTATTTGTTGTATTCAAGTATGAATATTTAGATGTTTATATTATTGTTGGATTCAAATATAAACCTTGACTATTCAAGTGATATTATACTATATTTAAATTGATTAGTTTCTTGAGTTTGAAATTTAAATATTGATGTAATTTCGATAGTGAAATATTATATTTTATTTAAATATAGATGTAGATTTTAGATAAGATTGTTTTCGAATATGTTATATATATGTTTAAATTTGTTTAGTGATAATAATTTCTCACTTTTCTACTATTTGTTAAAACCAGCAAGAACTAGTATAAACCAGTTATACCACAGGTCGGATCAAATCACTTGCTAAATCGAAATAATGGTATAAAGTAGGGGTGAAAGTTTGGTTTGCGGATTGCGGGTAATCCACAAACCGCATACATTGTGGGTAACCATACCCACAATTTGTGAATAGTGGGTTGGGTGTGGGTAGCAAAATATTGATTTTTGTGGTTAGTGGTTAACCACTATCCACAGCGATTAACCCCCAAAACTCACAATAACCACACTAAGTATATTTATTTATTAATAATACTTTGTAATATTAAAGTATGTGAAAAGTAGAATGCTACAAATTAAAGTAGGCTCCAAAATCAAATATACTTATTTTATAAAATAAAACTAAGTCAATACCCCGTGTTCGTATGTGATACTTTTATTAAATAAGTATTGTCCGTGTGGTATATGTTTATTTTATAACAAAACAAAGACGGTAAATGTGGTTTATAGTTTATTTAACACTTTATTGATTAACTTTCTCTTATGTAGGTTTTTGTTTTTGTGTAAGAATACGCTAATTCCGCAACTCGGGAGAGAGCTCCATTTATCCAAAAATTTAATTCGAATTAAAAATGCAAGGAGTCATGTCGCTGATAAAGATGCTATGTATATTGCGTTGAGCGCGAGATGCCTGTTCCTCCTTCCTTTGATTTTCACCTGCGAACCCTAACTCAGACTGTAGCCAAGAACAAGTGAGGAACAAAAGGAAGACGAACTAAATCGAAATGAAATGATGAGCACGAAGAGGAAAGCGTTTTGCAAAGCTTTGTCGGCAGTGGGCTTATTCACTCAAGCCCAGTTACTTGAAACTTGAAGTTGGCCCGGCTGTACGCACCAGCAAGCCTACTTGAGGCTGTGCGTTTTGAGAATGAACAAACTGCCCTTACTTCTCTGTTTAGCAACCTTCAGTTCTTTGTATTTAGCTGTGTTCTACAGATGCTGTAGAATCACGTTAGGCAACAAAATGAAAGGCTAGAAATAAGAAGATAGAACAGACAACAAACACTTTTACGTGGTTTCCAGAGCTGGGAAAAATAGATCCCAACTCTGACTACTCCACGGACAAGAAATCACAGTGTTGTGATTCTTGCCAATTCACTAAGTATGTAGGCGTTGCTGCACTGATTATGAGTTCTCACTCTGTCACAGGATTACTCTACCACTCCTGGGAGATTAATCCACAATCTATCAATAACTACCCTCAACCCCGCTATCCAGCTCTCGTGTTTTCCAACACACCCTCCAATATAGAATCACTCTTGTTTCTTGTACTAGAGCTACTTTTCTTATCAATCACAACTCACAAACTCCTTTGCTTTCCTGTGTGATTTGATCTCCAAAAGGTTGCCCTAAGTATGCTGTAGAGTGTTTCTTTTGTACTGTCTTGGTGTAGCCGTTGGATGGAGATCCTTGATTTGAAAACCTTCCTTTGTTGCTTCTAGAGGTGATCGTCCTCAATCTTCCAGCTTTTGAGTTTGATTCTTCTTTCCTGTTTTTGATAATAGACCATGTGCTGACCTTGATTGATCCTTCTTTCCTTTTTTTTCCAGATTAGTGCTTCATCATACATTCATCCATTGACAGGCTTCCTCCTAACAGTCTCCCCCTAAGTCGGTCAATGGTCCCTCTTGCTGCATATGAAGTTCCTGCACTCATTTAGCACACAGTTACGTGCAGACTGTCCTTATTAAATAGAAACACTGTTGTAAACCGAGCAGCCATTAAAATGAGGGAGATTTTATTCGATTAACTCAACTGGATACACCTGACACAGACACGGGACTCAATCAACTAAAAACCACAAATAATTTAGACTCGGAAAGGAGAACTGCAGACTCGATACTCAGTGTTCTTGGTGAGATAGAACCTCTTGTTGACTTCAGACATAATTTAACCTGGACCTATTCAGACTACAATCTATCCAACGACCTAGATCTGCTCCCCCTCAGACAAGTCCCCAACTTAATGAATTAAAACGGATGAGGTGGAGATGGGATGTAATCAGAGATGTCCTCATCATCACTGCTGATCTCAAGAGCTTCATCATCAGTCAGCCCCTTTTGAATTCCGCTTGAGCTTGGTCCGTCGTCTTTCTTTTTTTGAGTGAGATCAGCAACCAGATCAGCAATGCTGAGACCGTCTTCCGGGTCAGGAACTTCATTGACAACCTGATCTCCCCCTGGAGCATTGACCAGAGGACCGCGACGACCAACGGAGGCATCAACCTTCCGAAGAATGAACTGAGCCTGAAGTCGATCAATCAGGTCCACTCGGGAGACTTTGTACCGCAAATAAACTCCAAGTGCACGAAGCAACAGGGTGATTTGAGGTGCAAAGGGAAGGGCTCCATTGAGATTATCCTCAGAGTAAGTGATCATGTGACCAAACATTAAGTGAGGATAACTGATGAGACGATTTTCTTTGGCACTGGCCAAAATCCACATGTCAGTGGGGTGAATCGTGGAATGGCCATAGGAGCGGGGGAGAAAGACTCGAGTGATGTAATAGTGGAGGACCTTGAGATCGTCCGGAAGCCGTCCTGAAGCCAGCATGTTTGGATAGTAGCGCCCAGTGTCTCGAGTGTAGAGACGAAGAGCTTCGATCTCATTGAACCTGACAGATTGGAAGTCAGAAGCATCCATGACTTCAGCACCGTGGATGGGAATCCCCAGCAACAGGGACAGCAGTTCCACATTGATTGTGATCAAGTAATTGAACACAATTGTGGTGAAGGACGGTGGGATGGTATTGAAACAGGGCTTCATGTTCGCATAGAACATGCGAACTGGTTCAGGGCATTTACCAAAGTGCTGATTGAGTAGGACATCTCTCCATCCGATAGAGTTGATAAGAGCAGGTATGTTCATGGCATACCTATTGAAGCGAGAGGGATCAAAGTCAATAGAAGGACACAACTCATGATCCTGAAACTTACGAAGATATCGTGCAAAATCCTCAACATTCTCAAAGCACTTCCCATTGAAAATGGCAGCTTGGGCCAGTTGCATTGCCACATGAGGATTCACAGCCGCGATTGGAGGAGAAGAAAGTGAGGGAAATTTTTTTGTTTTCTATCGGATGAGAAGGGGGTGAGTCTGTTAGGCTGAACCGAGTCCTATAAATAGTTGAGAGGAGTAGAGCTCAAGAAAACAAAATAAGGAAGGAGAGTCTTAATCCGGGGAAGCGAATCGCCGAGGAAGGATTATGAAGAGACAGATGGGTTTTGGGAAGGAAAAGATGTGGAATCATCGTGAGCCGAAAGACTAGGAGATGATAGACTGGAAACTTCCTGTTCTAGAGACTGTTGATGTCTGTCAAGTTAAACATTCCCAGTTCTCGTCGAATTACAAGGAATTGCTCTGTCCCTAGAGGTTTTGTGAAGATATCAGCCCACTGATAGGCTGTGGGCACGAACTCGAGCGAGATTTCCTTTTCTTCTACTAGATCCCTAATGAAGTGGTATCGAATGTCAATGTGCTTAGTTCTAGAGTGTTGGACCGGGTTTTTTGACATATTAATGGTGCTTGAGTTATCACATAGGATAGGAACTGACCCTAATTGCAGACCATAGTCTAAGAGCTGATGCTTCATCCATAGAAGTTGAGTGCAGCAGCAACCAACTGCTACATATTGAGCTTCTGCGTTTGATAGAGCAACCGAGTTTTGTTTTTTGCTGAACCAAGAGATGAGAGATGTACCCAGAAAATGACACTTTCCTGACGTGCTTTTTCGATCTACTATGCATCCAGCGTAGTCAGAATCTGAGTACCCTATTAAATCTAGACTAGACTCGCAGGAATACACAGTCCGAGATGAGGAGTCCCACTAAGATATCTAAAATCCGTTTTACAGCGGTTAAGTGACTTTCTTTTGGACAACTTTGGAACCTAGCACACAAGCACACACTATACATGATGTCAGGTCTGCTGGCTGTAAGATACAACAGAGACCCGATCATGCCTCTGTAGTATTTCTCATTGACACCTAACCCTGACTCGTCTTTATCCAGTTTGATAGTTGAAGCCATAGGGGTACTAGCAGATTTTAAGTTTCCAAAATCGAACCGTTTAAGCATATTCTGCAGGTACTTGGTTTGACAGATGAAAATTCCCTTATCTGTTTGCTTGATTTGAAGTCTTAAGAAGGAGTTTAATTCTCCCATCAAACTCATTTCAAAGCCACTCTTCATTTTGGTTTCAAACTCAGTGCACATACTTTCACAAGTTGCACTAAAAATTATATCATCTACGTATACCTGAACTAACAGAATATGTTCTTGTTTTTGTTTAATGAATAGTGTTTTGTCTACCCTTCCTCTCCGAAAGTCATTTTCCAGCAAGAATGAACTTAGTTTCTCATACCATGCTCTAGGAACCTGTTTAAGTCCATATAACGCTTTGTTCAACTTGTAGACATGATTAGGAAATCTATGGTCTTCAAACCTAGGTGGTTGAGACACATAGACCTCTTCTTTCAAGTCTCCGTTAAGAAACACACTTTTGACATCCATTTGGTAAAGTTTGAAACGTTTTGAACTAGCAAAGGCACACAACATTCGAATAGCTTCAAGACGTGCTACTGGGGCAAAGGTTTCATCGAAATCTATTCCCTCCTCTTGACTATATCCTTGAGCCACTAGACGAGATTTATTTCTAACTACAGTTCCTATTTCATCTGATTTGTTCTTATATACCCATTTAGTTCCTATTACTGATCTGTTCTCAGGTATTGGGACTAAGTCCCAGACTTTAGCTCTCTCGAATTGGTGCATTTCCTCAAACATGGATTATGTCCAAAATTCATCTTCTAGGGCTTCTTGAACATTCTTAGGCACAATCAATGACACAAAGGCAACATGAGAGGGTGAAGCTTTGGATCTAGTGGTCATACCTTGGTCAAGAGTTCCTATTATCTGAGAGGGCGGATGTCGTTTGATGATATGAGCTGGTGGCTGCTTTTCTTTGAATTCAGACTCGTCATCCTTTTCGGGCTCATTTTCTGCTTCCAGCAGATGATCTTTCTCAGCCGTGGAGTTAAGAGTCCTTCCAAGGCCAAAGTCATCCTCGTCGTAGTGTGATATATCTGTTACTTCAAGACTAGACTCATCAAATACCACGTTAACGGACTCCTCAACCTTGAGGGTCCGTTTGTTGAAAACACGGTAGGCTCTACTAGTGTCTGAATATCCTAGGAACACAGATTCGTCTGATTTTGCGTCGAATTTACCAAGTTTGTCCTTTGTGTTTAAAATAAAGCATTTGCATCCGAATGGATGAAAATACCCCAAATTTGGTTTTCTTTCTTTCCAAAGTTCATAAGGTGTTTTTTTAATTCCTGACCTTACCAAAGCTCGGTTTGTGATGTAGCATGCTGTGTTTATGGCTTCTGCCCAATAGTACTTAGGGATTCTATATTCATTGAGCATAGTTCGAGCTATATCAATTAATGTTCTATTCTTTCTTTCTACTACCCCATTTTGTTGGGGAGTCCTAGGTGCAGAGAAGTTGTGAAAAATCCCTTCCTCTTCACAGAATGTTTCAAAAAGGTCTAAACTAAATTCCCCTCCGTGGTCACTACGAATGCTGTAAACTTTAGTAGATTTTTCATTTTCTAGACGTTTTACCAGGATTTTAAATTTAGCAAGTGCTTCATCTTTCTTTGACAGAAACAACACCCAGGTGAATCTAGAAAAGTCATCCACAATGACAAAAGCGTAGGATTTTCCACCATAACTAGCAACATTAGTTGGTCCAAACAAATCTAGATGCAATAGCTCTAATACCCTAGTGGTTGATATGACTGGTTTGCTTTTGAAGCTGGATCTGGTCTGTTTCCCCTTGGCACAAGCATCGCAAAAGAAATCTTTTTTCTCATTTATCCTAGGAAGACCTGTTACCAGTTTTAATCGAGCTAACTTAGACAGCACGCTCACATTTACGTGACCTAATCGACGATGCCACTTTTCTTGCTCGTTTTCAATTATACTGACCAAACAGGTTTCATTAAAACTGTTCCTGTCATTCAGATCAAGTGTGTAAACTTTTCCATCTCTAACCCCTGTGAGAATCACCTGATTATTCTTAATGTTTTCAACATAGCAGCAGTTAGGTTCAAATACTAACCTACATTCCTTGGCACACATCTGACTTATTGAGAATAAATTGTGTTTAAGTCCTTTTACTAGCATTACATTCTTGATTGATGGTTTGATTCCTACCTGACCTTTTCCTATGATTTCAGCGGTATTATTATCTCCAAAATACTTTTCCAAATTTTCCAAGTTTAAGTTTTGTAAATAGAGATTTGTTACCTGTCATGTGGTGTGAGCATCCACTGTCCATAATCCACTTAGATGTCTCCATGCTCACTTGAAGACAACACTGAAAACAAGAGTTTATTTTGTCTTTCTGACCCAGATTTTCTTGGGTCTAATTCGCTCTGTCATAAGTTGACAACTACTGCTAAAATGTCCAGTTTGGTGACATGAAAAACAAGTGGTTAATTTCTTTTTAGCTTCTGATCTAATTCGCTTTGTGCAATTACGAATTATATGACCTATGTTATGACAGTATAACATTTAGTTTCTCTCGGTTCTCTTTTTACAGTTTGAATGCTAGCTTGTTTAGTTGTAAGGTTCTTAAGTTGCTCTTTAAGATATTCACATTCAGTCTGAGATTTGTTACTATCTGATTTAGCCGAGTTGAGTTCGTCTTTCAGACGAGCATTTTCTTCCTCAATTGAGTTTAGTTTCACTCTTAGTGTATCTGCTATCCTTATACCTTCTTCGTTTTCACGTTTCAGCTTAGAATATTTAGCTTTGACGTTTTGAAATTCAATTTGTATTTCTTTTATAGTTTCTTCGAGGAATTCATCATCATCATAGTATTCAGGTAGATGTAAGTCATTGGTCTGAGAGATTCTTACTTGTTCACTAGAGCTTGTTGAGATGACATGATCGTCCTCTTCTTCAGCTATGGCCATGTATGACCTGTGCATGGTCACTTCCTCATCATCATCAGCTTCGTCTTCACTGCAGCTCCAGGTAGCTGAAAACGCCCTTCCCTTTCGAAGTTGTGGACATTCTGCTTTGATATGTCCCGTTCTTACACACTTGAAGCACCCTGTCGAGTTTACCCCTTTGAATGGCTGAGTCTGATCGTTCCTGTTTCTATGATATGTCTTAGGATGACTGAACTTGTGTCCACCCTCAATCTTTTCAGATTCTTTATTTTTTGCTCTAAGATCTCCTCGTCGTCTTTCTTGTCTGGCTTTTAGCATCCTGCTAATCTGCTTGCTGAGTAGAGCTAGCTCCTCATCCTCCATATCATTTAGTTCTTCAGGTTCATCAATTGAGGTGGTTGCTTTGAAAGAAATTACCTTTCTTCCCTTGTCATTGATCTCCTTTTCCGAACCAGCCTTATTTAGTTTGTCTTCGTGTGTTGCCAAAGACCCGATAAGCTCGTCTATAGCCAGTTTTTCCAAATCCTTTGCCTCTTCAATCGCCGTCACTTTGGGAATCCATTTCTCTGGCAAGCTCCAAAGAATTTTTCTTACCAAATCCCCACTCTCATATCTCTTTCCAAGATTTTCCAAACTGTTCACTATATTTGTGAACCTCTCATACATCTGACGAATAGACTCTCCATCTTCCATTTTGAACAACTCAAATTGATGTTTCAGAGAGTTTATTCGCGAAGTTTTCACCTGGGATGTACCTTCGTAGGTAACCTGAAGCTTGTCCCAGATTTCCTTTGCCGTTTTGCATCCTGCCACTTTGTGATACTCTTCGGGCCCGAGTGCGCAATACATCAAATTCGTCGCTTTGCAATTTTGCTGGAATTTTTCATAGTCATCTTCAGTCCACTTC